TGGAAGAGTAGCCAGTACCCTCAACCACTGAGCTATCTCTCAGCCTTCTCTTTTTTGAAATTTTTTAACAGAGAGGCTGAACAAATGGATCAGTGGTTAAAGTAATTGCCACTCTTATGGAAGACCCAGATTTAGTTTCCAGCATCCACATAATGGCCTACAGCTGTCTGTAGCTCCTGTCCCAGGAGATGCACAGGTAAGGCAAGCATGGTGCCTCAACATGCATTAGGTAAAACACCCATATACATAATAAAAAAGAAAGTTAAAAAAGGAAGACAGAAGTAAAGCATTTGTCAAAACCACAGAGCTAGGAAGAAGTAGAGGTGGATCCTGCATATACAAAGTCTTGCTCTGGAGCCCATCTTCATAATCACAATGTTCTGTTCTCTGGAGCCTAGTCCTACTCACTGTATTCTAAGGAAATGGCACCTCCCCTAACCTGTTGGGTTTCCCTCCCAAAAAGAAAAGGAACAAAGATCATCTCTTTTACTGGGAGAGAGGTACACCCTTTCTGTAATCCACCTGACACGGTGAAAATTATCTAGAAATGAAGAGACCATTCGGGGAAGAAGTGGCATGGAATTTCTGCTGACCAGTGCATTCTCAGATATCCTTTCAAAGGTCATTTAAGTCATAGCTCTCATCCTCCCATGAAGATGCCTTGTATACGGCAGTCACAGCAAGAGTTCTCCTTTATAGCTCTGGAAGGTAACAGCAAAATCTGGGGGCCAAAAACAGCCTTGCTTATGCAGAGATGAGCCTGTCCTCTGTCACTCTGCTTGGAAAACCGTCCCCATTCAAATGGCTCCTTTTTCATCCTTTAAGCTTTAGGTGAAATAGCACTGGTTCTGAAGCTCCTGTGTAGGTCTCCAGTCTTCCACGTGCCTCCTCATGGCAACTGATGGGCAGTCCTGCCCTTGCACAATCAGAAATTTGTTCATTGACTGACCTGTTTCCACTTGGGTATTAGTTTTCTGTATGGAAGACCCACACAATGGATAGAAATCATAGAAATCTGATCTCTGTCTCTTTTTTTAAAAGGAGTAACTCAAACTCAAGGGGTCAACAGAGTCTTGCTGCTACTAGGACCTTACCTACGAATCTTTCCCACCTCTTCTCAGACCCTGGTGGTGACCATTGACTCTTGGAGTTTCTTAGGTTATAGCTGTGCCACTCCAGTTTCCATATTTATTGTCACATGGTTTTTGGTTTTTTGTTTGTTTGTTTGTTTGTTTGTTTGGGGGTTTGGGGTTGTTTGTTTATTTGTTTGTTTTTTGAGACAGAGTTTCTCTCTGTAGACTTGACTGTCCTGGAACTCACTCTGTAGACCAGGTTGGTCTCAAACACACAGAGATCCACCTGACAAGTTCTGGGATTAAAGGTGTGCCTTCCTGACATTGCATGGTGTTCTTGTGGGTCTCTTTTGGTGTCTAAACTTCTTTGTATGAGGACATCAGTTACAGTGATTCAGCAGAGCACTACCCTACTCCAGTAAAATGTAGCTAATTACTCCCTCAAAGGCCAGTACTAGCATCTGGGATGGTCAGAGAAAAAATTTTAGTTGTGTAAACCTCACAGCTTGGCAGCATTTGTTACAGCAACCAAAGAAAGCTACAAGAAACCTTTTTTCTTTGTTTAACCCAGGGTTTCACCACATGGTTCTATGACCAAATACAGGTTTTCACTGTAGTAGCTGTTATGAAATCTTCGTTCTGTCTGGTGGTGGTAGCTCACACCTTCAGTCCCAGCACTCAGAAGGCAAGAGCAGACAGATCTCTGTGAGTTCCAAGACAGCCTGATCTACAGAGTGAGTTCTAGTACAGCCAGGGCTGTTACACAGAGAAACCCTGTCTCAAAAAAACTAAAGAGAGAGAAAAAAAGAATTCTTCATTCCTTGGCAGGACAAGAAGATATGTGTGTTTTAGAAGAGGAAATCCAATTTTTCTATTTTATAGATTAACAAATCATGTGTGTGGCAGGGGTGGATATAATGGCTTCATGTGCTCATCTGTGGGGGAGGGGTGAGGTTAGAGACGGGAGCTAAGACATCAACCACACCTGGACCTATCATTTATACCTGATAGCTCAGCTCATTATTCCTCTCTTATTTATAACCCAGGGAATAGGTGACATGTTCAAGGTAATGCTTAGCATTGGCTCACTTAGAAAAGATCAGATCAGGTTTACCAGATAACCAAGCGCTCTTGGGAGAAATTGACTCAACACTCTTATAGTCAGTGGGAGAAAAATGTTCTTTTCTAAACACTCGGAAAATTTGTTCAAGAAGCCAATCAGGAAAGCGGCTGATCCTATATAAACTGACTTCTTGGGTGGCTAGGACCGAGTGCAAGGCAGCCATACATCTTCATTCCTCACTGGCCACTCTTTGTGGCTGAGGAAGGGGAGAGGGCATGTTGCCTCTTCTGTCTAAAAAGAGACAGTTTTATTTATTTTTTGCTGTTTTCTTCTGTTTTCACCTATTCAACATGTCACCCTCCTCCCAAGGAATACAGAACCCACCGGAAGCATCCATCCCAGCCCCAGTGAAGGAGAAGTATCTTCTCCTACCTTCTACTTGATAAGCGGCAGTTGCTGCTCCCCATCCAAACCCTACAGGAAAAGCCATGGCTGCAGAGATATAATTGTCACCCTCGGCGAACAGGAGTGAACGGAGAGGTCTGGAGTTCAGCCTGTGTGGTTGAGCAGCTGTGAAGATTGGTGACCTCTCACCTGAGACCAGAGCCTCAGAGTGCAAACACAAATGAAAATAAGAGCACTAGGTTGGAGGACCCCACTCAAGTGGCCACGCCTGTGTCAAGACTCAGAGCCCTGTCGTCCAAGATAAGGATTAGGGTTTCTTTAACCAGCTCTCAATAGTTCTTAACAAACTTGGATAGCCCCAGGTTCTGGCCAAGTTAATATTTTCTCTTTTAATGTGGTACATGGGCATGGATCCTAAGTTATATAATTCTCCAAGAGCATTCCTCTAACCAATTCCTGCCAATCCCTTTGTGTGTACATGTGTGTGTGGGGGGGGGTGACAGCATTGGTTTATGGCTTTCTGGTTTCTGCTATGGCTATAGAGGGGTTTGATGACAACCAAAGCCCTAGGCTTTTATAGAGCCTGTCTTGTCCTTTTCCCCCTGAGCCTCCATCTCTGCTCCCCCAGCCTTTATTTCTGAACTTGTACGGCCATCTGTTGGAATGTGGAACATTTCTGTCATTGGATAGAGCTTGGGTGGACATGTCATGGTGATGTAGATTGCTGCTAACAGGGAAACAGGGTGGGAGGGGTGTCCTTTGGAACACTCCAAACTAGCATTGCAACTTTTCTTTAAGCCAAAACCATTCACGATTAAAGGTTTGCTTTCAAAACATCCTTGTGGAGAAATGATTTGGGAACAGAAAAGTTAGCGGTCCCATTTCCTCAACTCTGAAGTGAGTTGTTCCCTGAGCAAGGACAGGAATATAAAGAGTGGAAGGCTGCACCCACGGGAATGCTAACCCTAAGAAGAAAGAAGCGCTTAAACACACACACAGAAGAGGAGAAGACCCTTAAGACATTTAAAGTTACCTAATTGGAGATAATAGGCATCAGCAATGTAGGTGTAGCTATTTAACCCAAAGAATTACTCAATTCTGGAACAATCTGTAAAAACCAAGGGGGGGGTGGATTAAATATTTTCACTGTGGAGCACTAGATGGCAGTGTTGCAATTACTTAGGCTCACAAATGGGTTAAAACACAAAATTGACTATACCAGTGTTTTCTGTGTGAGACAGTCCCTCCTGACTCCTTAGGCTATTCCAGGGTTCCTCTCCAGACAGATCAACATCCTTCTCTGTGTTCCAGAGTCCCTAAAGTTATTTGCCCCCAAAACACAGAATTATTCTTTCTCAGCTCTGGTTCATCATCCCACAGATCAGCCTCTCAAGAGCTTCGCAATATCAACAACTCTTTATACTCACAAACATAACTGAGGTTTCAAAGGCTTTCTGCTTAATGTGGGATATATATGACTATATACTGCATTAGATATTGAACCTGAAAACTTTTTTTAACTGCTTGTTGTTGACTTGACTTAAAATAATGAAAAGTCGGAATGGTGGCCCATGCCTATAATCTCAGCACTCAAGAGATTGAAGCGGAGGGATGATGGAATGTCTTCAGTCAGCCGAAGCTTCTAAGTTAATTCCAAGCCAGCCTGTGCTACATATTGAGACTCAAAACAAATAGTAAAAAAAAGACTGTTTATATGAATAATACATTTATTTGGAAAAACATAATTCAAAAATCTAGTAAGAAAAGTGCACATTTTACATTTTGTCAAGGATCCATGACGTCTGTCTGGTTGAAACAACTAGATGCATCTCGGCTTCTTATGCTGTGTGCTACCTCTTAAAAAATTCAGTGTATACTCATAGAAGCATGAGAGATGAGAATGAAAGAAAGTCATATATTAACATAATTATTAAAATAATTTTGACCTTGTGGAGCCCTGAATGGAACTGAGGTCCCCCAGGAAGCCCATGAACTATATTTTAACAACTGTAGATCTGGAGAGATGGCTCAATGGGTAAAGTATATACCATGTAAGTGTGAGGACCTGAGTGAATTCCCAACACCCATGTACAAGCTAATGCCTATTCGGTCTTCCTCCCAGAAGAGGAATATATTTACTGAGTATATTCCCAAAGGTCACTATATCCTACTACAGTGGTACTTGTAAGATCATAGTTCAGGGGGCAATCCTGTCTCAAAAGGTAAGATGTAAAATCAAAGAAAGTTATCTAGAGTTAACTTCTGGCTTCCACACAGGTACTCATAGGAGAATGTTTGTGAGAGCACATAAACACATGCGTGCGCGCGCGCGCGCGCACACACACACACACACCACACACAAACCCTTAGACCTCTCCCTTTCTCCCTGCCCATCTGCTAGTACCTTCTTTTGTTACGGTGAAAAAGTGTATATTTAGAATTAACCAGTTGGATTCAGTTTAGACGGTCCCAATTTTGTTGGCAACATCCAGAGCATCATAATCAGAAGCCAACCAAACATACGCCTTCTTCTCTCCATCAGGCCTTATGAGGGTGTTGACTTTGGCCACTTCAATGTCGTAGAGCTTATTCACAGCCTGTTTGATCTGGTGCTCGTTGGCCTTGACATCCACGATGAACACAAGCATGTTGTTGCCTTCTATGTTCTTCATGGCTGACTCAGTGGTCAGAGGGAATTTGACGATAGCATAGTGGTCAAGCTTGTTTCTCCTGGGCGCACTCTCTCGAGGGATAGGCTGCCTCCGGAGCCGCAGGGTCTTGAGCCACCGGAAGGTGGGTGATATGCAGATCTTCTTTTTGTGGCTGTCGATGCCTTTTAGCACTGCCATCTTGGTTTTCAATGCCTTCGCTTTGGCTTCGGCTTTGGGAGGGGCAGGAGCTTCCTTCTTCATTTTCGGTGCCATCTTAGCAAAAAGCCTGATAGTACCTTCTAATGCTACCCACAATCCCTCTATCCTTCTCGTCTTTAGAGATTCCCCTAGTGATTTCTGACCTGTGGTTTCTGTGTTTCTAAAACATGAATTTTTCAGCTACATCTTAGAGAAGGAGGAATTACTTATTTCGTTTACTTTCTTTTTACTTTCAAACTTTGTTATAGAAATCATTATAAATTTAAAGCAACACACACTAAAATTAACCAAATGAAAAAGCTAGGCAAGTCAATGAACTTCGATAGAGTTAGAGTAATCATTTGAAACAGCTGTGGAGCTTCACATTAGATTTTACATTGTCACATAGTGATCTAACACCACTTTATGTACTTAGCACTGCAGAAAATGAAAAACCCATAACAAACTTAGAACTAGAGAAGCCTTATATCATCTTTCACAAATCATGCCCACTGACTGTATTCAGTTCTTCTTCATTCATCCCCTTATGTAAGTTTAGCCTTTCTTGTTCTCTTTTCTCTATGTTATACTATATCCACATGTATATTGGTATATATATATATATATATTTGACTATTATTGGTTAGATTTTGTATATGAGAGAGCATACGTGTTTTCTGAAGTTGTGTGACCTCTTTCAACATTATACATTCTAAGTCCATCCATTTTCCTGCCATTTAGGAGATTACATTTTTAAGCATTGACTATTATTTTACATAGTATATAAATGATATTCAACTCCAAAGTCATATATGATATACATATATGTAAAATCTTACATTCTCATTATATATTCATCTATATATGGACAAGAAGGTTGTTTCTAATTCTTTGCAGTGGTGAATAAAGCAGAAATAAATACAGGGTGCAAATATCTCTATGGTAGGGTATGGGGTGTAGTACGATTAAGAAAAACCCAGAGAAAGATATTGAGGTTCAAACTGAAGATCAGAAAAGTAAAGTATCCAAGTCACTAGAGAGTTCTTAACCTTTACGAAGGCTCAGACCAAAGGAGGGTGATGCTGAATTCAGGGTGACTGCAGACTGCGATGCTCTCCACCAAACGTTAGCCTGTTCTCTGAGACTACTCTGAGCTCCTGCCTTATATCCCTCTCTAGTGCTGGGATTAATGGCATGTCATCCCAAATGCTGGGATCAATGATGTGAGCTCTGTTTCTCTTTTACACTGATTCACTCTCATGTAGCCCAGGGTGGCCTTGAACTCACAGAGGTCCATCTGCCTCTGTCTCTCAAGTGCTGGGATTAAAGGTGTTACCACCACTATCTGTCCTCTATAGCTAACTAGTGGCTTGGCTCTTAACTAGGTGTGTGGCTAACTAATGTCTTAGCTCTGCACTCTAATCTTCAGGCAAGCTTTATTTGCTAGATAACAAACAAAATATTGATACAATGGGGTAGTCTGGCTCTATGCCCAAGATTGAAATAGTTAGGTCATATAGTAGTGCTATTTTTACTCTTTTGAGAAAATTGGTTTATTCAATGGCTGTATTAATTTTGTACCCCCACCAATAGTGGATAATGGTTCTTTTCACATCCTTTCCAACATTTGTTGTTAAATTTGATAATGATAGCTCTTCTGACTGAAGTATCTCAACGTAGCTTTTATTTGCATTTCCTAGATGGCTAGGGATATTGAACACTTTTAGAATACTTATTGGCCACTTGTGTCACTTTTTTTTAAAAAAATGTCTGTCTGGTTTGTTTATTTATCTGGTTGGCAGTTTTATTTTCTTGGTATTTAGTTTCTGTAATCTTTAATTAGTCCCTTATCTGGAGTGTGGCTGGTAAGGATGCTCTCCCATTCTGTGGGCTATCTGTTAACTCTGGTGATTTGCTGTATGAAAACTTCTGATGTTCATATGGTTCCATCTGTCAATATTTGGAATTAGTTCCTCTGTTGCTGATGTTCTATTAAGAAAGTTCTTCCCTTCCCTAGTCTCTTAAAGGAAATCCCCGTATTTTATTCTAGAAGTTTCCAGTTTTAAATTAGAGTCTTTGGACCATTTTGAACTTGTTTTTGTACAAGGCAAGATATAAGAATCTATGTCATTCTCCCACAGGCAGAAATTCAATTTTGAGCATGTGTTAGATAGGCTTTTCTCCCCAATATGTGTGTCTTCTTTCTTTGTGAAAACTTAAGCAGGCATAGCTTTATTATTTTATTTACAAGTCCTCTATTATCTTGATCTTTTTTATTTTTATGCCAATACCAGACTGTCTTTATAACTACAGCACTATAGTATAATTTGAGGTTGGGTATTGAAATATATTCAGTAGTGTTCTGACTAATTATAACTTCTTTGGTTATTCATGATTTTTTTGTTCTTGTATTGTTTTCTGAACCTATGAAACATGATATTGCAATTTTCATAGATATTGCATTAAATCTGTGAATCAACTTTGATAGCATAGCAATTTTTACAATATTAATTCTGCCAATCAAGGAGGAACATGGAATGTCTTTCTGTTGGTCTCATTCACACAGAACCAAAACAAGATCATTTCAGAAATTCATTCAGTCATCAGCACCAAGTTTAGCCACTACCTTAGCTAAATTTCATGTAGATATTACTCTAGGAAGAGTCACAAAAGCCAGACTATCCCATAGGCTCAAAAGAAGAGGAATTCAAAACAAACTGATTTCAACAGATCTGTAAAATATAACAAAGCATCACAAAACATGGCACAACCACCATCTATGCCCCATCACCAACTCCCCTAGAGATGAATCCAATATTGCACAGAGTTGAAATGTCTGAGAAAAAAATTATAGTCTTACTGAACAAAAGAATTAACAAATATATAGAAAAGTAAAACAAACGGATACACTAATTAAAGAAATCTATCAAAGACCTTGACAAATATTCTCAAAAATGAACACAGCAGTTGATGAATGGGAGTCAAAAGTGGAGCGAGCCAGCAAAGAGCATTCTTCTACTTTCTTTGCCAGAAAAGAATTCTGGCTCCACAACTTCATCCAGAAAGAGTGACTGAAATCCCCTCCACCTCCACCTCATTTCATGATTTAGGTTTTATGAAGACCAACTTTTCAAGAGTGTATAATGATCCTAGTTTCCACCTCTCAGTTTTTCTCACTATTTGTTACTATCAAGATACCCACACTCAGAGCCCACTGTAGTGCGTAGTCTTTTGACTATGGAATTTGCTGGGGTTCTTTGTTTTGGATTGTGTTGAGTTTTTGCAGTGTTATGAGCAAACTCGATCCTTACACATGCTCCACTGGGCCACAGTACTAACTTATGACTGAATCCCAATCTCACATTAATCTTTCTGAGATCCGGCTGTCCTTCCTCCTGTTCATCAGACCCACCAGCTGCATTATGGTGACTAAGAGCATTTCTGCCCTGGAAAATGCTGAGAACTTGTGAGTTACTTTCTCATGCAACCTCAGAAAGGAGGGTTTATTTTGATTCATGAAGTAAGCAGATACAGTCATCCTAGCAGCTTGCTCTGAGCAGGCATGGGCTATCAGTATCTTTTCATCTCTACAGATAAGAAACAGAGAAATCTGGCTATAGGTCTGGGCTGTCCAGGCTAATAACCCTAGACAGGACCATCATCTTGGAACCAGGTATTCAAGCCTGTGAACCTATGGGAGACACTTTACATTTAGCTCGTAACAAAGCTATAAATTCTCTACCCTGAGAAAATTAAATAATTTCTTTGATTTTTTATTATCTTTAAATTGTTTTTTCATGCAGTATATTTTGATTTTATCCTTTCCCCTCCCTCCCCCAAAAAATTATTTCCTGAGGAAGAGTTGATCTGGGGGGCAGGTTGGGGAAGGGACTAGGAGGAATGGAGGGAGGAGAAACTGTGGCCAGGATATAATGTGGGTCCAATTTGTTAGTTCTCCAGCATGTATATGGCTCCAGCACTGTGTCCTGGGCAATACAGTCAGGTAGGGTTAGTGTACAGTTCAGTACACAGCAACTCATGACCCATGCCTGGGGTCATTCCCCTTTCATCCTCTGGCTAGAGACACAGGCCTTACTGGAAAATGTCAAGGTTCCAGTGAAACTTGTACTGTGGCATTGAGCAAGACTCTGTGTTAACCACCCGTGAAACCTTAGTAGTACCCATTAATAAAAATACATTTTCACTTTGCTAAGCCATTAAGGTACTAATAAATGCTCTGAGGTACTAACAAATACTCTGAATAATGACTAGATTTCTCACACGCACACACAGTATAGAGGGTGTGTCTTAGGGCCCATTGGGGGGAGAGGAAATGAAGAAGAAAGTAGAAGAGAACACAATGAGGTGAGAAGAGGCCAACACTACAGCTGTTGGGGCAGCAGACTAGCCATCCTGATATTCTGCGTGATCTGGTCAACACTTCCCTAAGAAGGCACACTGGTATGAAAGAGCTTTCTAAACAGCCCCAGTGATTCCTATTAACCATGTACTATTCCTCACTTTTCAATAATTCTAATTGTAATTCTGAATCTATTTCCCATAAGGTCTTCCAGGCTATCTCAAGCATCAACTTTATTGCTTTAGGCTGGAATTACATAAACTTACTGTGATAATACCAGTTTCTCATGCATTGAAATTCATGGCCAAAAGAGTTATTATGATATTCTTAGTTTCTCCGTAGACAGAGTCTGTCAAAATATGGTTGGAGGAAGGAAAGCAATAACAGTAATCTTCAATTAGGAGAATTCTGGTTATTGTGGTGCACGTAGATTCATTTCAAGTAGCAGAGGACAAAGACATTTGCTTAGCTGAGCTGTCCTGGATTCAGTTAACCTGCCTCTTGGTAACAGAGTCTAACTTCTGTTTGTCCTGTGCAGCCTAATTGCTTCTAGAAAAGATGACATAGAGTCACACCCAACAACTCACTATCCCTGGGGACTCATTTATATCTATCTCCATATCTCATCTCATTGGTTATGGGGATTGGAGATGCCAGAGGAAGTCCACCTGTTTCTGAAAAATATTTCCCCTTCCACTGAAGGTTGTTTGTGTTT